ATGTAACAAGGAAAGTGAAAAACAAGCATAAATAAAGATTCAATACATAATTCCAGATTTCACCCTTTATTTCAACAACACAAGGCTCCTATTGTAAGCAAAGACTTCCCCTGGATTCACGACAGTAACTCTACTTCATAACGTCACCTGCATCAGCACAAAAGAAAGAAGTTTGAACTAGTCCTTAGTTTTGTTGAATTAAAGGCAGGAAATATATCTCACATTATCGTTTCAGATTGGGAGAAGGGAGTGAGAGAGATTACATGGGTCAAAGTTGGCAGTGCATTTCTCTGGGAGCTGCAAAGCCATGTTGCGATCAACTCCAGCAATGGGAGGGCCATTTACTAGCACACACAAACAAGCCTGCCCCAGAGTTTTGACGCTATTGCAGCAGACCTCAGTTGGCGGGATGGGACTGAAGGGAGCCACTGCTGCCCTACAAGGTATTAGTTGAACAAGTGCTGAGAAGAATGTGCTGCTGCAAGCATGACCTTCGCCTTGTTTTGCCAACCCTGCCAGGAGCAAAACAAAAACCAGTAATGGAAGAGCCTTCAAGTCGTTTAGCTTCTTCATATTTGAATTTTCAACCCTAAATTCTCTCCCTTGGAATTCTTCTCAAAGGAAGCTATCAATATATAGAAAACAGACTCATGCCTCTGTGCACCTTTGTCCTACCCCACACACCATGCTTCTCATGCCATTTCTATGTCAACTCTGCTTTTGATCTGATTTTCATCAACAAACTCAAACATACAGTTCATGCACAGATGAAACAGGTATAAAACCACAATTTCATCAATTGAGCTTCTCAAAATTGTTGACATAATATTAATACCACTTTAACATCAGCTAAAAAATGTAAATCAGTAGAATGAATTGTACCAAAGACAATATTGCAATATATTTCTTGGAATAAATTTGCAAGTACACAAGTTTCACAATAATACTAAATTATGGTTCAATCTGACCACCTGCCAAGGGAATTCTATAAGGACATAATGTTAAGCTCATTATCTTGCAAATCATTTGAACTCTCAACAACCTTGAAATTTTGTTGCATCTTAAGAGGGACGGTTACAAATTTTCATCGTTCCCCTTTATTTCCTTTCAGATTGATTACTGCAAGCTCTTGTTCAACAGATTCTCCTGCACATATGGATGGATATTTGCTGGCAAGGGGAGTTTCTGCAAAATGGCCTAGAGGCTTCAACACAGCATCTGAAGCTATGTGAGCAAACAACTACAAAAGACAGAAAAATTAAGTCAGGAAACAAGTAAAATACAGCTTTTATGCAAATTAAGGTAATGACAACAACAATGATGATGCTTATGGTAAAGTTGACTCACTGTTGAGGATACCCTCCATAAGCTGCGATTTTGCTCAGATGCTAATTTGATGGCATCAATTGTTCTCTTTG